CTTCTCCACTAATTCGCTAGGTGAAGCAATCATTATTATTACAGCACAGCTAGCAACTTGCAAGAGAAATGAATTGGAAACATGGCTTACGAAAGGTCAGATTGGAAAGAATTTTTTGTCTTCAAAACTCCGGATTATTGAACTTCCGGCTCTAAGCAAATTTGCGTCTGATTAATAAGAACCTGTGCATTCTTACTCTTCGTAGCTCATCCGAAAAGTTTTGCCTTTACCTAAGATTTATGTGTTCAAATGTAGGAAAGCTTCATAACGAACTTCCTTTCTACCTAATATCACCAACTCTGACTTGCCGCAAATTTCCACTTCTTCGTAGCTTGTTCTTGTTAAATTAACCTTTCATGTTGAAGTAGAGAAAATTCAAAATATGAGGGGAACTTGTGCGAAGGATGATAAAATTAATTTTACCTCGGCAATGCTCAACCCACTAACTGGCCCAGGAACATCCTCATCTGTAACTACAAACACAGGAGGGCTTCTTGGTCCATCACCGGGGGAAGTGTAACAAAGAACCGTTACATTATAGTGTCCTATAAATCACTATGATAATATGCACTTTGGAAGAAAAAGGATACAAAAAGCATTAACCATATTTCTCCAGACCATCCACAATCACCACAAGATCTTTTGAAGTGGGATCTACCATTACTTGACGATACAGAACTCCTTTTTGTGGAACTCCTTTCCAGAACTCTACCTTAAAGTATAAGACCTTGAGAGACGTGGCACTGAGACTAAAGCCTGTGAACATACCTTATACCCAAGGTTAACCCCAGGAATTCTCTGTTGATCTGGAGCGGTAAATCTGATCTGTACTGCCGTTGAATTCAACACGTTTGCGATGACATTTTTTGGGGACTGTGTTGGCACTAAAGCAAAGGTAGTTCTGAGAAGTGAGAGATTTACGAGTACGGTCTTATATACTGTAGTTAAGAATCAATAACAAAAGTTGGTTATAAGGCACTCCCTTTACAAAGTAGATGAAATTCCAGAAAACTCGATAATTAGAATGGCTGCAGCAATCACGGAACAACTCTATTTGTCAACAAGGAAGTTCTGTAAGCTCTTTATAGGATATGGGTTGACCCAAAACCCGCTAGGAACCTTCTCTCCGAATCGAGAAACACCATTTCAAAAGAGTCAAGGACACTCTTTGCGTATGCGTATGAATGTCATCTAAAGCTAATTTGGAAATAGAATAGAAAATTTTTCTTGAAACAAGACTGGTCTTCCCTAAGGATGGACTTACACTGCAATCCAGATAATGTTAGAGCCTTCATCTCTAACCATAAAAAAGCTTCTACAGAAAGT